AGGCAGGGCGTATAGAGGATCGCAGCCAGAAACAATGCTTCTAGATCTTTCTCCTCTTCCTTTCTCCTCTTCCCCTTCTTCCTCTTCCTCTTCTTCTTCCTCTTCCTTCCTCCTCTTCCTCTGCCTTCTTCCTCCTCTTCCTTCCTCCTCTTCCTCTCCTTCCTCTTTTTCTTCCTCTTCCTCTTTCTCTTCTTCCTCTTTGTCTTCTTCCTCCTCTTCCTTCCTCATCTTCCTCTCCTTCCTCTTTTTCTTCCTCCTTTTCCTCTTCTTCCTCTTTGTCTTTAACCTATTCTCTTTTAGTAGCCCATGCTGACCTCAAATTCAATGGGTAGCTAAGGTTAACCTCGAATCCAGAGCCCCCTGTGCCCTACCAGAGTGAGTACCCACTGAGTCCCAGCCACACCCTCTGTTTGTTTCCAGACCCACACCTCATTTTTCTTTTTCTTTTTCCATTATTTTTATAGTGATCTTCTCTAATGTTCTTTACTGTTAGGTAGTTTCAAGCTCCCCAAAATCCCCCTGCCTCAGCTCCCTGTGTGTGAGGATGACAGACCTCAGATAGTACACCAGTTTTAGCTAATCATAACTGCAATATCATGAGGGTGTGGGGTGATTATTAAAAGCTTCATTTCCTTGTGTCCGCCCACACCCAGACTTTTCATGACATGAAGTACATTGCAGACCTGGGGTCTACTGGAGGGAGAAAGTGGAACCATGGGCCTTTACTAAGCACAATTTCACAGGACATAGGAGCAGAGCCTGCATCAACAAGGGAGACAGAACTGTGAGGGAACTGAGGCCAGTTGGAGCTGAGGCAGGAGGATTTCAAATTTGAGACTCTTTGTCTAGCCTATGGAGCAAAGGCCCTATGTCAAAGAGTTAAAAGTCTGGGGAGGTGCGTCATGAGTAAAGTGCTTGCTGTGCAAGTGTGACGGACTGAGTTTCTTCCCCAGCACCCATCAGAAGCCAGGCCTGGCTGTGCATGTTGGTCAGCAGCCATAGCTTCAGTGAGAGACCCTGTCTCAAAACATAGTGTGGAGCGCATCTGAGGAGAACACAGATGGCAGCCTCTGGACTCCACTCACTGTGTGTGGAGTCCCATGTGCACACACAGGTGCACGGGCGCGCGCACACACACACACACACACACATTAATAAAAAGAATTAAAAATTTAAAAAGGCAGTGGTGGCACACGCCTGTAATCCCAGCATTCAGGAGGCAGAGGCTGGCGGATCTCTGAGAGTTCAAGGCCAGACTGGTTTACAGAAGTAGTTCCAGTACAGCTAGGGCTACACAGAGAAACCCTGTCTGGAAAAAATAAACCAACCAAAAGAATTAAAAACAATATTTACACACTAGGCAGGCAGGGCAGGCAGATCTCCAAGTTTGAGGCCAGCCTGGTCTACAGAATGAGTTCCAGGTGTCCGGGATTACACAGAGATACCTGTCTCAAAAAAAAAAAAGAGAAAAAAAAAAGAAAAGAAAAGAAGAAAAAAAAAAGAAATAATTACAAATAAAAGGACTGGAGATAGCACCCATGTAGAGGCACATGAGTGAATATTTGTGGATTGTTTCCTTCATGATGTCCAAACAAGGGAGCAAGTAGTCTGTACTCAAAGTCCTTGAACTGGGAAACATCTGATGGACAACGTCCAGCCATAAAATGATTGTGTCTTGATACTGAAAGAAGTGAGGTCAGACAATAGGTTGCAGAGTAAAGATGCTTGCTGCCTGAGGACCTGAGTTCCATCCCTGGAACCCACATGGTAGGAGAGACCTGACTCCTGGAAGTTGTCCTCTGAGCTCCAGAAGTGAATCACGGCGTTTGTGTGCACACGCATGAGCAAGGTCATCCTTTCTCTGTTTATTTGTTTGTATATACTGGGATGCATCAAACAGCTTCACAAATGTGAGAGAAGGAATCCACCAACAGTCCTCCCTCAAACCAGGAAGAATTCTCCAAAGGGTTAAGATGACATTTTATTTATTTATTTATTGCATGTACAGTGTTCTGCCTGCATGCATGCTTGCAGGCCAGAAAAAGGCACCGGAACTCATTATACATGTCAGTGAGCCACCATGTGGTTGCTGGGAATTGAACCCAGGTCCTCTGGAAGAGCAGCCAGTGCTCTTAATCTCTGAGCCATCTCTCCAGTCCCCTTAAGACAACATTTTAAAATGTGGACCCCTGAGCTGGAGAGTTGGCTCTGCAGTTAAGCACACTGACTACTCTTCCAGAGGACCCAGGTTGAATTCCCAGCACCCACATGGCAGCTCACACCTCTCTATAACTCCTGTTCCAGGGGATACAACTCCCTCACATAGACATGCAGGCAGAATACCAATATACATCAAATAAAATTTAAAAATCCACAGGAAATAATAATAATGATGATGATGATGATGATGATGATGATGATAATGTAGACCCCAGGACACACAAGCTGACTGCTGACTCCCATGCATGTACTGTGTATGTGTACATGCATACATAAACAAATAAGACTTATGATTTAAGAGTGATGACTTAGTTCTTTGGGAGGTTGCAAGGCTCTGGGTTCAAATCCAGAAAGAGAGGTTTGGGAGGAGAGAAAGATGAAGGGGGCCATGTAAGTTTACATAAGAGACCATTAGGAGGGAAAGGGACAGGGACAGCTGGCCAGAGTTTAGACCTTGCAGGTGACTCTCCAGGTTCTCATCCCAGCTCCCACAGCTGCTCACTATGCTGGTCTGTAGAATGGGCTAGGCCTGTCATCTCTGAAGCCTTGGAGAGATGGTAGGAGATGGAGTGTGGATCATCCCCGAATGCCAGTGTGGAGATACAAAGGAGGCCCTGTAAGTGACAGTGGGTGAGGTGCCACACACCTGTCATCAAAGCACTGAGGAGACTGAGGCAGGAGTTTCAGGAGTTCAAAACCAGCCTAGGCTACATAATGAGATGCTATGTCACAGGGGGAGACTGGGGCCTGGGCTCAGAGGTAGAACACTGTCTCTACTAAGTTCCAGCCCTACCACTGAAAATGCCCGATGAGGGGAGGGAGAGGGAGAAGGGATTGACATGTGAAGCAAGCTTGTTCCTAATTTGAACTAATAAAATAAAAAAAAAGAAAAGAAAAGAAAAGAAAATGCCCGATGGGAGCCTGAGGCAGAAGGATGGTAAGTTGAGGCTAGCCTGGACCCTGACTCAAAATAAAACAAAAACACCAAAGTCCAGGATTGAGCTCTGCCTCTTCCATAAGCATCAGTGAGCCTCATTTTCCTGAAAATCTGTTTTTCTGTGTAGAAATGGACTTTATGTGACACATCGGAAGATCCCTACCCCAGCTGGATGCTCAGTGATGGGGGTGGATGTGATCCTCACATAGAGACTTCATGGGCCACAGTGACTGTACCCCATCCCCATCTGAAAACCACACACACACACACACACACACACACACACACACACACACCACATATATGACAGAATCCAGACTTTTATTCTGAAGTCGAGGTCCCAACCTATGAGGTAATCCTTGGAGCTTCATTCCAGGATTATTCTTATTGGTGTACTGGCCAAGCCCCGCCCAGGGTTCCCTGCGCTCCGCCTTCCTCTCAAGTGCTTAAAAGGGCAACATCGGGACCTGGGCAGCCCCCGGGACACCTGCCGCTGCTGCTGGACAGGAACAGGTGAGGCATAAAGGGAGGAGGAAAAGGTGCTGGGGGAGGTGAGGGGGACCCTGGGGACAACGCAGGTTGGCACATTTTCCAGAAGGCTAACTAGACTATCTGAGAAGGCAAAAAGGAGCTGGGGCTGTCTTCCTGGGAGGTAGGAGCAGGTGAGATCCTCGCGCCTTCCGTCCCCGCTTGGACCTCCCTGGGACGATGGGAAGGGATTCAAACCGAAGATGGATCCCTGTGAGGCAGGACAGACACAGGAACAGGTATCCGGGCAGAAGGCGGATGCTGGGCGCCCTCCTTGCGCCCACCCACCCAGAGGAATGGCTAATTATTTTTCAGCACCGGAGCCGCGGATAGCGCCAGCCGGGTGGGGGACAGGGAGGGCGCTCGGCTTCAGCACCCAGAACCCGGACAGCTCCCAGCGGGCCAGCAAGGAGACTGGGCTTCAGCACCAGGCGGCTCCACACAGCACCAAGCTCACAGTACCCAGCGTCAGGGACAACCATGGGGTCTGTTCTGGTGGTGAGTGTGCCAGGAAAAGGGTGGTTTGAGACACTTGTCCTTTACAGAGGTGGGTTGTTGTTGGGTTTTTTTTTGTTTTTTGTTTTTTGTTTTTTTGTTTTTGAGACAGGGTTTCTCTCTATGGCTGTCCTGGAACTCACTATGTAGACCAGGCTATCCTTGAACTCACAGAGTATGGGAGAACCATTCTGTCAATGGAATGATAAGTTCCACTAGGTGAATCGGTGTCCCAAATGAAGCCATGAAGGGCAAGCCAGACCCAATCTACCTTCATTTCTCGCATTCTTTTTATTTTAAAAAAGGGTGTGTGTACACACACACACACACACACACACACACACACACACACATATATATATATATATATAGAGAGAGAGAGAGAGAGAGAAACAGAGAGAAGAACAGAGAGAGAAACAGAAAGAGAGAAACGGAGAGACAGAGACAGAGAACCTTCTGTAGCTCATGTAGAGAGACAGAGAGAGAGAGAGAGAGAGAGAGAGAGAGAGAGAGAGAGAGAGACCCTTCTGTAGCTCATGTAGAACACCACGTGAAGCCAAGGGTGATCTTGAAATCCTCATCCTCCTGCCTCTACTTCCTGAGTGCTGGGGTGACCATTGTGTGCTGCTTACACCTGGATCAATAAGTCCCACATTGCTGGTGTGGCAGGGTGTGGTTTGGGTGGTTAGAGAACAGATCTTCCTTGTGTCAGTGGATGGAGTGGGGAAAAAGGAGGCTTAGGCTTGGTAAGTCAGTGGGGCCTGTTCTGCTCAACACAGGGCCGGCGCAGGACCAGAACAAGGGGCTGAGCGTGTGAGCCAGTGCTATGTGGAAGACTTGTGATTTTGTTGTTCTAATGTGATATGACAACAAGTCACAGCCGGCCTCATAGCGTGGACTCCTTTCACCTTTCTCCTGAAACACACACCACAACAGTCAGGGCAGGAAACTGGGACGAGAGGGGGAGAAAGGGGAGTCGGGTATGGGCAGGGGAGGGAGTCTGGCAAAGTCAACGCTCCTGGGGATACAGTGAAGTCTCACACGTGCTATTGGCCTGTCATTCAAACACTTCTACAGGACAGGATGGGAGACAACCTCAGGGCCCTGGGCCATCTCATGGTGCATTCCTTGGCAAAACAAATAGGGAATGGAGGCCTAGTCATGTGACTCGGAGTGTAAAGGGACTGTAAGAAATTGGAGAACCTGAATTTGATTCCCAGGACCAACATGGTAGAAGGACAGAAATAACTGCAAGGTGTCCTCTGGATACCACACATGTTCTGTTACACACAGTCTCCCACACACAAATAAATGCACACATGTAAAACTTTTAAAAGGAAGATTGTCATAGAAGGTGCTTCTAGAGCACCCTGAGTTATTTTTCCTTTCTCCTTTCCTTTCACTCGGTCTGTCTGTTTAGAGACAGTGTATCCTGTAGCCCAGGCTTTCCTCTAACTCTAAATGTAGCCAAGGATAGCCTCGACTACTGGGCCTTCCTGCCACCTCTCCCACCAGTGACAAGATGCTAGACCTGGAGTTTCAAGCACACTGCCTGAGCACTGTGCCCACAGAGCCCCAGCCCAGACCCAGTGGGTCTTTTTCAGTAAAACTTCTGTGTCCCCCACCCCCACCCACCAACCACTAGTTGCATGGCTGATCCTAGGAAAATGTGGACTTGTGTTTGGCGTGTCAAGGGTTTATTTATCTTACAATGATAGTCACACCCCACCACAGGGAAGTCAGGCTGGAACCTGGAGACAGGAACTGATGCAGAGGCCATGGAGGGTGCTGATCACAGGATTGCTCCCTCTGGCTTGCTCAGCCTGCTTTCTGAGAGAACCCAGAACCTGCTGCCCAGGGCTGGCCACACTCATAGTGGTCTCGGGGCTCCCACATCAGTCATTAACCTAGAGAATATTAACCTAGAGAATGCCTGCTGGAGGCATTTTCACAGTTGAGGGTCCTGCTTCCCAGAGAACCCCAGCTGTGTGGAGCAATGAAGAATCCAGTCACACAGCAGCCCATGGTCTGGGTCCACACAGTTTCCTCCCGCAGGACTGCATGGCACCCTCATATAGCCTCTAGTCAGCAACTCTGTCTTTTCCAGGCTTCAGCTCCTTGGGAGAAACTTCCTGACACCTCAACAATCAACTAGAACAAGACTTTATTAACATTCACAGGCTCCTGAGGAGGCCACATTATGGCCTTGATTTTCAGGCAGAATGTCTACATATCTCTTCCTGGTTGCACTGTGAGCTCAGGGCAGCACTGTGGAGGAAACCCAGCACCTTGCAAACACTATGGTAGGGCCATGACCCCAAGCCCTCACAGGGAGATTCTAGACAGGAGTTCCACTCCTGACCACGCCCTCAATCCCTCACTGGGGATTCTAGGCGGGCTTAACCAATGACCCACATCCAGCCAAGGAGATAAAAGACCAGGAAGGATTTTAGGTGAGAGTTGTAAATTCTAGGCAGGGGCTCGATTGATGAGCCATACTCAGCTTTTATTTATTTTGTAAGTCTTTTTGAGACAGGATCTTACTATACAGACTAAGCTGGCCTGGAACTCAGAGGCCCACCTTCCTCTGCTTTGCCTCCAGAGTGCTGGGCTAATGGTATGCCCCTCCATGTCTGCTTATCTTTTATCTCGTTCCTTCCTTCCTTTCTTCCTTTGTTCTTTCTTTCTTTTTCCGTAACAGGGTTTCTCTGTGTAACAGTTCCAGCTGTCCTGGAACTTGCTTTGTAGACCAGGCTGGCCTCAAACTCACAGAGATCCATTTGTCTCTGCCTCCCAAGAGCTGGGATTAAAGATGTAAGACACCGCTGCCCAGCATCTTTTATTTATTGACGACATCATGCTCTTCTGCCCTGAATGGCTTTGAATTTAGGATCTTCCTGTTTCTGCTTCCCTATAATCTACGGTGATGGCCTGTGAGGCCAGGCCTGCTACCATGTTTCCCCAGTGCCCAGCCTAACACATGGTGTTCAGTAAATGTGTGCTGAATCCACAGAGGCATCAAGGAGTGCAGCCACGCGGCAATCAGTAAACGAAATCCATATGTTCACTGCACACACACTGCGATTCCTGTCTGGGCTCTGAGAGGGAGCAGCTGTTGAGGGACAGCAATCACAGGTGTCTCCTAGGGAAATATAATTAAATTTCTGGATACTCAGGGGCTGGCTGGTCAATGAAAGAACAGCCCCAGGAGAGAGCTGGTCTCTGTTCATTAGCAATTAAGAGACATGGATTCCTCATTATCTGGGGCAGGCCCTGTCTCCCTCCTTCACCCCAGAGGAATGGAATCTTCTCTCTCCTGGGAGTCCTGCCTCAGTGGGCCCATTAACAAGCTGAGATAATAAGATTAAATGATACCTAAATGCCAGAGGTGCTTATGGATGGGGCATCCGGAGGGGCCTTTGATGTCTGGGTTGAGATGCACAGTGGATTTTCTCATATGCTGAGCATCACCAAGAAGAGTGAGAGATGAGGGGCTCGTGTCCACACTGCGTCTCAGAAACCCTGCCGTGCATTTCTTTTTCTTTTCTTCTGCTTTTTTCTGTTTTGGTTTTTCAGGACAGGGTTTCTCTATGTAGCCCTGGCTGTCCTGGAACTCACTCTGTAGACCAGGCTGGCCTTGAACTCACAGAGATCCACCTGCCTCTGCCTCCTGAGTGCTGGGATAAAAGGTGTGCACCACCACCCCCCAGCTTATCCTACATTTCTCATATTCACCCCAAATTTGCCCTTTAGACTGGAACCCTCAGGGCTCTAGGAGAGGATACTGCCTTGATTAGCGTTTGTCTGCCTGACACAAACCAGAGTCGTTTGGGATGAGGGAACTTCAGCTAAGAAAATACCCTACCAGGTTGTCTCATGCTTCCTTTACTTGATATTGATTATTGTGGTGGGGCCACGAGGCAGGTTGGATAAAAAGACAGGCTGAGCATGTCCCAGGAATGGGACCATAAGCTGCCTCCTCCATGGCCTCTGCATCAGGTCCTGCCCCTCCATGGTGGACTCTACCCTGTGTGCCAAGTGAACTCTATCTTCCCCAAGGTGCTTTTGCTCTTTGTCACAGCAACAGAAAGCACTCAAGGACAAATGGTTTCCCTGTTCTCTCTGAGTAGAGCACAACAATAGAAAAAAAAAAAAAGAAGAAGAAAAATGGGGCAGTTTCTGTTGCTGTGAAGGGACACCATGACCACGGTAACTCTTACAAGGAAACATTTAATTAGGGCTGGCTCACAGTTCAGAGATTCAGTCCATTATCATCATGGTGGAGAGCCTGGCAGTGTGCAGGCAGACGTGGTGCTCGTGAAAGGGTTGCTGTATGTTGATATGCGGGCAACAGGAAATAGACTCTCTCAGGACAGCTTGAGCATATATGAGACTTCAAAGCCCACCTCCACAGTGACACACTTCCTCCAACAAGGCCACACCTCCTAATAGAACCACTCCCTTTGGGGGCCATTTGCCTTCAAACCATAACAAACAGCAAGATAGGGCTGGAGAGATGGCTCAGAGGTTAAGAGCACTGACTGCTCTTCCAGAGGTCCTGAGTTCAATTCCCAGCAACCACATGGTGGCTCACAACATCCGTTATGAGATCTGGTACCCTCTTCTGGTGTTCAGATATACATGGAAGCAGAATGTTGTATACATAATAAATAAATAAAATCTTTAAACAAACAAACAGCAAGATAGCTCAGTGGGTACACAGACAGGATTTGGTGCCAAGCCTGAGTGAGGACTTCAGTTTGATTCCTAAGGGTCACACAGTGGAAGTAAGAACAAATGCAGAAGTGGCTCTCCCACCTCCACCAGTGAACAATGGCAAGAGTTTCGAGAAGGGGCTGCAGAGCTGGCTCAGCAGGTAAGAGCAGTGGTCGCTCTTCCCGAGGTCCCAGCTTTGACTCCTAGCACCCACATGGCAGTTCTGGGTTCTGTTGCCCCTCCTAGCTGCCATTGGCACCTGGCACACTCTTGGAGCAAAGACACACATGCTGGCAATGCACTGGTACACAGACACTAATAAAATGAAAAAGTAATATCTGTGAAGGATGGTAACCCCAGGACCCTCCACATCTGTGAACAGTGAGTGTGAGGCTAGCCCAGGGTCCTCCCTGTGCCATCACTCCTTCCTTGCAGCTTGTGAGGGAGGGAAACAGCTCTCCTCAGACCATGACTTGGTGGCTTCCATGTGTAGTTTAAGGGAGACTCCCAGTATGTACTTATGAGGATCTGCATGTGTGTGTTCTAAGATGTACATATGTGCTTGCTCATGTGTGTATGTGCATGTGAAGGTCAGAGGCTAACACCGGCAGTCAGACCTCAGGTACCGATCAATTTTTGATTTCCGTTATTTACCTTCTGAGTGTGCATGTGGGATTCAGTTCTGTCTGTCTGCCTTGTGGGTCCTGCGGACTGAACTCAGATCATCAGGCTTGGTGGCAAGCTCCCCCTACCGGCTGAGCCATCTCACTGGCCCCTTTCTCACTTGAAACAGGAGTGACTTGGAATTCAAAACAATCCTCCTGCCTTGGTCTGCCACGTGTTGATTTTACAGACACAAGCCACCATACCTGGCCTTTCCATTCTCTTACAAAGCAATAAATTTCCCAAAGTTCTGGAAAGATCAAAAGGTGAAGGCCAGCCTGGGCTACACCATGATGCCCTCAAATCATTGGGTCTCCTAAGAACCTTACCACAGACCTAGGAAAAACACAGCTGCTTTTTGTTTGTCAGGGCCCAGATTTTTGGCGGACATCACACTCTCTGCTCCATTGTAGCGTGTGTGTGTGTGTGTGTGTGTGTGTGTGTGTGTGTGTGTGTGCGCGCGCGCGCGCGTGCGCGCGCGTGCAGACCTCATGCCCAAGGGCCTGGAGTGAGAACTCCTT